TTTTTCATTCTAATGTCGCCTAAGTGCCACGTCAACACCATAGATCAGGTCAACATTGACACGTAGATGCCACATCAGCGAAACTGCCCTTCAAAACCGCTAAGTGAGTTAAATTGCACCGCACCTTTTTAACAGTTGAGGGATCGAGATATCTGGTATTGCAGTTCAAGGATACGAATCAAATTTGGTTGCTAGTTAAGGGAGTCAAAGTGAGCTTATTCCTACTGAAAATTGATAGTACTACCCCAAGGCCCACATGCTAAAAAAACGCAAAGATTCAGATACTACAACCGCACATTGGGCTTCCACATCCCTTCATGCACCATTTCGGCCGAAATAGTTTTTTGTGCGAGAGGGCCCAAATAAACTCGACGGCCTGCGGATGAATCTGGGCCATTTTTCCTCGCGTGGGCCTCGGCACGTGTCGCGGGAGGCGCGCGCGCGTCAAGTTCGGCCCCGCGCCCCTCACGCTTAGCTGGCGGGATCGTCGCGTGGCGCAGGCACGCAGTACACGCCCAGTACACCTAGCCGGGGCGAGTAGCTCGGCGCGGCTGGTTGGTTCGTACTCCACGGGAGCCCACCCGATGGGCATCCAGGTGCAGGGCTAGCTGCGCGCGCGTGGGGGCAATGTATACAGCGCCCGCTCCACCCCTGGCCCTTGCCGATCCGTCGTCGCCTAGCTTCCCCCGAGCGCCGACACCAAGTACCGCGACCCACGCGCGATGGTGACCCCTCTTCCGCCCCCGCGCCGCGCGCGGGGCCCCGTAACGTACTCTCCGCTCGCGCCCGGGCCGGCCGGCGGATCGATCGGTCGATCGCCGGGTCGGTCAAACACGGGGCACCCCGTCAAGGCAGAGGCAGAGAACCCGCCCGCGCGCGCGCCAGGCCATGCATGCATGCTTAGCATACCCGGCATCGGGTTCAGAGAGAGTGGCGCCCGCGCGCGCGCGACGCCGCGGAGAGAGACAAGTGCGTGCGACTAGAGCTAAGCTCTAGGCCTATAGCTATAGCGATGCACCTGCTGCAACAACCACCACCCGGCAAATTAACCTGCACGGGCGCGCAGGCACAGCGGCCGGCGACCCCCCGCGCCGCGCGCGTGCCAGGACGGACGCATGCGCATGAATGCGTAGTCTCGTAGAGACGTTTATACATGGGGTATAGCGGGAGGGATCGCGCTGCTGCAACCTCTGCATGTTTTGCGAGCATATACAGTTCTCGATCAGTTTGGACGACGTGGATCTGAAAGGGTTTTCACTAATTATATTTCGCGGGGATTTTTCCCTCGTGGGCTCGTGGATGTTCGATCGTACGCTCGTGGGCTGTCTTGTAGACCTGCATCGGTGTAGGATGCAGCGTAAGGGTTGATCGTGCATGCATGGATGCGATTCTTCGTCAGCAGGATGCTTGTGCAGTGTAAATATACATTTATATACGTACAGTACATATGACGTGAAGGGTCGTCCCTCGTGATAGGACTCAACTTTTTATGTACTCGCTGCGGTGTTTAACTATTTTCTCTACCAAATTAACTTAATTACCAGTGTGTGTCTATCTATTAGCCCGCTCGCGTGGGCGCCACTACATACTTGGGTTAACGCGCTAGCTCTCGAGATGCGACATAATTTACCTGGCGATATATATATATATATATATATATATATATATATATATATATATTAATGCCCTAGCAAGCTAACTCATTCCTACACACCATTATAGAGAAAAGCTTGGCCCTACCTTGTTCTTCTCTTTGCGCGCGGTTAAGTATGGTCGACATTATGCTGCACTGCATATGTAGGCACATATATACAAGCATGCCATGCTAGCTACCTACCTCTACCAGATGCCCCTAATTGCATTTGCAAACAAGTCTAAGACTAAGAGAGCACCAACGACATTACAGTTCCATAGTATTGTTGTCCAAAGATATTCGTCAAAAAAATGATTTTGGATATATGGAAGTGATGTTTTGAAAATTATAAATTAACATGAATCACAGGGGCACATAATTAGTATTTTCACAGATGTGTAGTATATTCCTTGCAATCCAACAGTAATATATAAGTGGATTTTGAAAGTCATTAAAATGATGTGTAATATTTTTTCCCCAATCTTGCTTCTTCGAGGAACTTTATTCATGCATGTTGTTCCGTTTGAGTTCACATGGCATATAAAGTATTGTTTTTAGACATAAGTCAATCCAAAACATTTTTCTGTTACAGCACTGCACATGCTTATTAATTAATTGTTAGCCTTCGCCGTATGAGTGCATTTCATTCTACTGAAAATAGGCAAAACACCACAGAAATGCATAGATTTTTATCTTCCCACAGCAGCCAACTCACACTCCGCTTCAATAATGCAAGATCTTTGCATGGCTAATCGTGCAAAACAGAGTGCGGACGACATACATATATACTAGCAACTCGCAGCTGGCCAAACAACACTTAATGCCCACTCTGCCGGCACACCATGGTAACGTCTTTCCACCTCATAGCAAAATGGCAATATACAAAGAGAATATATATGATCGCTATCAACATGGACCTCTCGAGGAGATCAAACATGAATACGTAGAGCACAACTGTGACGGTTCATGAGCGGTGGATGGCGCTAGCCACCAAGAAGGGGCAACCAAGAAAAGGAGTTATTGCCCTCATCCTACTAATGGAATGGGAAATTTGAACGAGAAAAACCAGAGAGTACGTTCCAACACTGAAACTTTCGGCAACAGTGCAGCCAATGACTCTCAGAGCTTATCATTTAGCCTTTTTTTTCTTTCCTTATTTGTATTACTCGTTTTACTTCTGCTATATTCAATTAAATTGGGCCACTCTAAGTGCCAGTTCGTTTTAAAAAAAACACTCATGTTAAGCTTTTTTTTATATATATCAATATGATGATCGAAGCGTGTGTGTACTGTGTTTTTTTTTTTGGGGGGGGGGGGGGGGTGGGAGGGAGGCTGTCAATCATTTTTTGGAGAGGTAAAGTGGAACATTTCATGCTTCTATCTGGTCCATCTGAGGTGTACTAACGATTATTAAAATGTGCTGATCTGATTATGTAGGTGCTCAGTGCTCACCTGCACCCTATGAAAATACTCCAATGTTAAGCCATTTTAAATGAGAAAATATAATTCCCAAAGATTACCATCTTTGCTATAGGGCAATATACTCCATTCATTTCGTATTACAAATTATTTTGATTTTTTTTCTAATCAAAATTTTTAAAGTTTAACAAAGTTTATAGAAAAATATAGGAATATTTTTAGCACAAAACAAACATATTATCAAAATATATTCAATATTATATTTAATAAAAACTAATTTAGTGTTATAGATGTTAATTTTATCTATAAACTTTATCAAACCTAAATAAGTTTGCCTAAGAGAAAAGTCAAAGTGACTTATAATATGAAATATAGGGAGTAGCAATTAATTAATATATATCCATTAATTTAATTTGCATATGTGCTCAGCTATTGCACAAAATATAGTTCCTTAAGATTTAATTGCATACCAGTTTGCTTCAGAAATTAAATGGTATATATATCATTGGTGTTGTGTTTCTATTATTTTGGACCACCATTCACCTTTTCTTTTATTCAGCAGTGGAAATGTCTAGAATAACGTACTGTTTGGATTAAAATTTCTCTTGTCTCTAGCTGCAATGCTTTAACATCATGGGCAATACATATGATATGCAAAATATATATCTTGCAATTTCTATCAATTTATATATGAAATTAATCTGAACAAATAATATGGAAAACAAGGTGAGATATATATATATATATATATATATATATATATATATAGCAAGTGCTCGGAATAAAACATTTTAAAAAACAAGTGTTAACTATAGTATTAAGCTCTTCCTTAAAAAATAACACGCCTACAGCTATATGATCTGGTAGCTAGAATTAATCCTGGAATGAACATAGTGACTAAACATCCATGCTCTGATGCTCTATCATATGAAGCTAATTTAGCAGATGCGTGCTGCTACCTAGCTAGTCCCATATGTTACTATAATAATATGTAAAAATGGATGCATGTTTGTTACTTCCTCTGTTTTATAATGTAAGTCTTTCTAACATTGTCCATATTCATATAGATGTTAATGACATTAACATCTATATGAATATGGACAATGTTAGAAAGACTTACATTATGAAACGAATGAAGTATCTGTTATCGGATACGTAGAATTTGGATTATTCATGCATCGACATCTCTTAAACATTTCTAGAATCAATATGAAATATCCATAGTGGGCATTTGTCCCCATATATATTGCATGTATACTCGCAATGATTTCACAAATTAAAGGAAATTGATCCTGAAGAAAAACTTAATTTGCAGACACGTGGGGTACTTAATTAGGAGTATATAAAACTTTCCGCATCATACTATATATGTACATTTATATATATCATGTTTGCTCAGGTACCTGCAGTATGCAGCTACCAGGTACTACGTACTAGCATCCAAATAATCCATGATGGGACACAACTATTAAGAAATCCAAGCGAAAAGATAGATCATAAAACCAGGACACAGCGCATTGCACGAAGGGGAGAAGGATAGGTCCAGTTGGCACATCCAGATCCCAGACATATCCATGCAGCATGCACACACACAAGCTAGTAGTAAGAAATGCACATCCGGCATCAACACTTCTACACACCAGTTGGTGCGTGGCACTGTTGGCCTGTACCACCACCCTGGTGGATGGAACTGGTCATGCACCATTCACATCGATCTCACTGCTACTCTTGCTCACCCAAACCCTTCATTTCAGTACTACGATAAAAAGGAAAGGAAACAGGAAGCAAAACAAGAAACAAGAAGATGCTAGAATTGGCACATGCATGCATGATATGCAGATGTGAGATGTGCCGGCCAGATTGGATGGACAGGCAAGAGAGATCTCTGCATATGTGAATCTCTCTGTCCCTCTAGATCTAGCTAGACCTCAAAGGACATACTCCTCAGTTCAAAGTACAACAATCATTCACTCACTACTACTCCCACAAGCAAATTAACCGTCAACAAACCGAATTGAAGCTGGAAAGCTCATAGAAACACAGGCGATCGATATAATGCAGTACGAACGAAGCACCTTCTACTGGTACTTCCGACGACAGAGTTCGTGAACAATTAGCAGCACAAATAATTAAAACCCATTACCATGCACATGCATGCATACGCGAACTTATAGTGCACATAAAATATATGTGCTCGATCTGGCATACCGACCAAATAGGAGAGCGTAGCGTAGGTAGATCGGCCGGCCGGCTCGGTCGCCCGCTCTCAGCAGGCGGCGCCGGCAGGCGGTGGAGGCGGCGGGTGATGCTGGTGGCCGTGAAGGCCACTGCTGTCGCCGCCCTGCAGCTGCTGCTGCTGCGGCTTCTTGCGCTTCTTCTTCTCGTAGCTGACGCCGCGGGCGCGCGCCTGGTGCTCGCGGACCTCGCGGAGGTAGAGGCGGACGGCGCGCGCGGCGAAGGGGTTGGACTCCGGGCGGCCGCCGTTCTCCTCGAAGGCGGCGCGGAGGCGGCCGACGAGGGCGTCGAGGCTGCCCCAGGCCTGGCGGAGCGGGCAGGGGCACGGCGCCGGCGGGCTCGGGTGGCCGAAGAAGGGGCACGCCGCGGTGTGCACCTTGGTCTTGCCGAACTGGTCCAGGTAGCGGAGGAACTCCAGGACGTGCGCGCCGCTGCACTGCGCGAGGCTCAGCGGCGGCCGGTGGTTCCGCAGGTACTGCCCGAACGTGTTCCAGTCGCGCCGCTTCTGCGCCTCGTACCGGCTCGGCGACTGCGGCGCCCCCGCGCCCATGGACGGCGACGAGTTGCTGCTGCTCGACCCACCGCCGCCGCCGTTGCCCCCTCCCGACGGAGGGCTGTCGGGGTTCGGCGACAGGTCCATGGATCAGCTCGTTCTTCCTTCCTAAGTTGTAAAAAAAAAACAAGGGGGAAGAGCGTGACTGTGAGCTGAAACAATTCTGGTTTTAATTTACTTCGCAAGTAGGGCTCTCACTTACAGTTCTCCTCGCTTAAACAAATGAAACAAGCTACTGTTTGCTTACTACTATATTGGGAATGCATGATGAGGTCAATGATTACAAGTATGAGTTTACAGTTAGGATATATTGCAGAGATCTGTTTCGGAGTTGGTGCTTCTCTCCTTGAACATATAAGTGTGAAGTCGATGCCAAGATGCATTCATACTTCTCATAGTACATGAGTTGGTATTTTTTATAACTGAAAACTTGAAATTACCGGCCTTCTCTCGTCGGTGGGCACCTGATCTTTGGTCGGTGGTTGCAGAACTCTTAAGTGAAATAATCAGAAATTAGTTGGCTACTTGAAGATGAAAAACCTGCACATACAAAACGGAGCATCAAAGAAGCTGCAGTGATCACACAGAAAGAAAAATGTATTTAAGGCGGAATTGTTCGGAAGGATAATAATAATCTGCATGGAAGTGTTAGCAGCTAGATCTCATCGATCTGTATGTTCCTTACTCGATCAGCAGTGGTGGCGGTGGTAGTAGACTGGTAGCAACAGCTGCAGCGCAGCAGCAGTAGGCTCTCCGATCTCATAGGCCCATCTGGTGTCTGGGAAGTTGCTGGGAGAGCAGCTGCAGCTTCATCGTCTGTTCGATGGTGTGGGGAATCGCATGCTGATGCTTCTATTTTTAGGGGGAGAGCAGGGTGGCGGAGGAGGTGTTGTTTGGCCTAAAAAGGGGAGAAGCGAAGTGACTGAGACATGGAGTGCACAGTGGTATGAGCAGTGAGGGAGAGGGGAGAGATGCACTGATCCAGTACTGCTAGGGCTTTAGGTGATGGAAGTGTGTGTGTGTGTGTGTGTGTGGGTGGGGCAGGGGAGGGGAGGGGAGGACAGTGGGTGAGAGGTGTGACATGACAAAAGTAATTTTTTCCTAAGTGATGGGTCAGTGTACGGCGTAATTTAGGGCATCGTTGCTTCAATACAAGCGTTGATCGGGTGGGGTAAGCTGGGTTAACTCGGCTTCACAGGTCCAAAGCTGTCTCAATCGATTGTAGCCACTTTGATCGATGAATCGATCAGGACACACATGTGAACATCCAATGACTGATCTATCACTACAACAATGCCATCATTCATTCTCAAAAATATTGCAAACACATGTACGTGTATGTACTATGCTCTACATAAAATATTGGCTTCGGTTTTGAACGCTGTTGAGGGACAAGGGATTCGTTCATCTTTTATGCCAAAACTTGGAAACAACGTTATGCAAATATTCACCAACTTTTTATTGAGATTTACGAATAGAATTTAATTAGTGTCTGAATAAGTTTTATCTTGTCTTTATTGTTTTTGTCTTAAATTTATCTTCTCTCCATCTTTTGTTAGTTGATTTTATACTTGGCTTTCGGCAAACAACGTTGTAATAAGTGGTTGTAGCTTCGGAGAAAGCAAAGATTAGATTTTATCGATTATCCAAAACTGCTCTACATAAAATATGACAAAATATCCTCCAAGCACAACATGCATAACAAAACAAGGAAATAGTGAGATGCAGAGAAAATATGTATGTGTAGAGAATTAGGGAGATTTAATTAATTTGAAACACGGGAATGCTCGTTGTTATGAGCAATATTGGTTATCAAAGTTTGAACAGATCTTAATAAATCATTAAATATTTATGCATGACCGGGTTGCATATGAACGTTAAAATATCGGAAAGTTTTTTTTTTGTCTTTGTTTAGTTTTGTATTTCGATCTGTTTCACTGGTGGAGAAACCCTTTGTAGTCCCGATTCGTAACCCCCCTTTAGTCCCGGTTGAAACCGGGACTACCAATCCGGGACTAAAAATCGCTATCTTTAGTCCCGGGTGAAATAACCGGGACTAAAGATCGAGCTGACCTTTTTTTTTTTGCATGGCCACCATGCATATATATGTTTCAGTACATATATGCATATATATATATATATATATTATATTATATTTATATATGTTTCAATACATATGTAGATGCATAATATATATGTATTTATACATATATATGTTATGCAAATGCATATGTATATATATGTGTGTGTGTGTGTGTGTGTGTGTGTGTATATATATATATGACCAAAATATATTTACATTATAGAAAATGTGTACACATGCATATAGAAACATATGTAGTCATATATTAATTATAATCCATTATATGTCCTAGCTAGCTACGATTTCGACGTAGTAGTAGTCGCTAGCTCAGATGCTAAGGACCTATGAATTGTGTTTCCGTCGTAGTAGAATTCACCCTTGAGATCAAGGATTTGTTCGTTTATGAATCCCATGAGTTGTTCTTGAACCGCCGCGATAAATTCCTTGTGCGTGGTCAGGTTATCCCTCATGCGAATAAACTATATGAATGTATGAAATTGATTAGTAATTAAACAAGAAATCGATACGTAATGAAATTTTGAATTTATTTGTACGTACATTGAGCTCTCTTGTGGTGATGATTTGGTCTGCAAGGCAGTGGCAATACTCGCACACGTAATAGCCGCACAAATTAGTTCCCTTCTTTTGCTTTGCGCACTACAAATAAATGACAAACAACGAGAGATCTAATTAATATACACTTGTATGTATTTGAATCGGAGAAATATAAATGTAGAGCATGTGTACTCACAAGAAATTTGAACTTCCGCCTAAGTCTTTCTCTCCATTTACCGCGGACCAAATGACGGAACCGATACCAAGCCCTACATGAAGTTTAAAGCTATGATTCGTAGTAGCAATTAACATAACAAGATTTTCTTAATTAACAGAGGAACTTATGACGGTACCTATCTATAAGTTCGAAAACCTTGTCAAACGTAGACTCTTTTTTATCCATTGAGTCATATACGTTGATGGTGTAGGCTGACAGGTCGAAGAGTAAAAGCACCCAGTGGAATCTGCAATGTGCATGGGATGCCTTACATATGAAACACTTAGCAAGTTCGTACGGGAATGAAATTTGGTATAGGAAGACCAGTAAAATTAAACTAACTCTGTGTTGTACGGCAACAGTATGATCGTCTTGTAATGCTGCGCCTTCAGGAGATGGACGAGATTGTCCTCTGTGGCTTGCGGATATTGGTCGAGCATTGCGACGTTTACTTTCCGAGGGTCGATGAATCCAGTATCGAAAACCCCCCACCGTCGGGCCCTTTGAATCTCCATTCTACAACGATAAAAGAGAGTATATTATTTTCTATAGTCTACTTATATACAAGGACCTAATTAATTAAAGGAGACGTAGTAAGAAATCTAACTGAACGATATACTTACAAAATCCAGCAACTCATAATAGAGACGTCGAGAGCATCCAGCTGGTATAGTTCGTAGATTCCCTTGAAATTGATCCAGAGAATGTCATCTCCTTGCAAGAAGTCCGTGTCCCTGATCCTCGCTCCGATCATCTCTCTACCGGTGGCGCTCATCTCCATGTACAGCTGATGGAACTTGTACATTTGTGTGGGTAGGGACTGCAGCAGCTCAGGCTTGACAAGCGGTTTACCGAGTTCGTACATGTATTTCACTTCCGCCTTTTCGATTGGTGCGACTCCTAGCAATTGATCCGTAGTTAGACCGGTGTCAGTAATAAATTCTTCTATCGTCATTTCTTTACCGGTCACCAACGGCTCGATCTCCTGGTTTGGTTGCTCTCCAAGCTGAGGGACTGGTTTGGACTTTCCAAAAGATGCTTTCTTCAGCGTTCGCTCATAGTCCGATAGCTTAATGGCCTCCTTAGCAGGTGCAGACATACCCCTGAAGAAGTTCATGACACTCGGGTCTATAGGAATCTTCTTTTCTGGACTTCGAGGCTTGAATTGTCTCTTGACTTCTGATGCCACGTAAGCGTCAAGCTCCTCTTGCGTGCAATCGTACCCCGGGTCCTTGTTCTTGGCGGCGTCAACTTTCGCCTTCTTCGTTGCCCTTGTGTGTGCAGGCGGTGGAGCTTGGGGGGCCCTTGACTTTGAAGGTGCCGGAAGAGGAGCTTGCGGAGGAGTCAGTGTAGGAGCCCGAGGAGGAGTCGGTGCAGGAGCCTGAGGAGGAGTCGGTGCAGGAGCATGAGGTGGAGACGGTGCTGGAGCATGAGGAGGAGACGGTGCAGGATCCTAAGGAGGAGATGGCGGAGCCGGAGGAGATGGTGCACGAGACGCCGCTTGTCGCCCAGGGAGGATGATGTACCGCCTGCGCCATAGAATAATGGCATGGCTTGTGTCTCGTAGATGCGTCTCACCGTCTCCTCCAGGGTAATCCAGCTCGAGGTCCTCGTACACGCCTTCGACCAACTCAACTTCGACCGTGGAGTATCCTGCTGGAATCGGCCTGCAGTGGTAAGTACCTGAAGGGTCCGTTGGGATGGCCATGCCCGACGCCACCTTCATGTGGTGAGAGGTTATTTATTAGTAATCAACATATATAAGCAGCAACTAGCGGAATGGGCAAATATAAAATATATAAACTACGAGCTTACCTTTATTGATATGTTCTTGAAAGGAATATGCAGCACACATGGTGTCCGCTGAGTGATGTCATCAACGGGGCAGGTGGATTCGTCCTAGGTTTGCATGGCGTCCATGCTCTGTGATCCTACCTACCCCGTTGAGGCGCAGCTGCTACGGTTTCCTGACGGGCTCACCATTGCAGGAGGAATGGTCGGCTGGAGATCATTGGACAGATGTGTGGCCTTGCGTTCATCAACCTTCCTTGCCACCTCCTCTTGCATGCTGAGCTCGTAGCTCGATACCCTGAACTCAAGATCTGCAATCTTCGCCTCGGTATCTCTCTTGCTCCTCATCCGACTCCTGTACGTGTGGATGTCCTCCTTGAACCCAATCTTCCAAGGAATCACCCCTTTCCCTCGTGTTCGTCCTGGATGCTCTGGAGTCTGCAGGGCGAGTGACAGCTCGTCCCTCTCTCTATCCGGTCGGAACGTGCCCTGAGAAGAAGCTTCCACTGCGTCTGTTAGTCGACGCGCGGCCTCTCGTATCTGATCGCCGAGGACTAGTGAGCCATCAGCTGGGTTGAGTGTTCCACCGTGAGCATAGTACCAGAACTTCGATCGTTCCGGCCAATTAGCGGTGGCCGGTTCGATACCCCTCTCAAGCAAGCTAGCCTCCATCTCCTCCCACTTCGGCATCGCGACGCTATAGCCGCCTGACCCCAAGTGGTGATGGTACTTCTTCTTGGCGGCATTTTCTTTGTTTCTTTCCATCATCGCCTGCCCTTGTTCACCTGTCTTATATGCAACGAACTCGTCCCAGTGATCCCTTAGCTTTGGGAATGTGTCGAAGTTCGGTGTCTGCCCCTTCAGAATATATTTCTTGTACAGCTTTCCCTTGAAGCTCTAAAACTGTTCTGCCATTTTCTTCAGAGTCCACCTTTTCACTTTGTCCTCTGTACCCGCGGGAAGGGTGAATGTCTCGAGCATTGTGGTCCACAGCATCTCTTTCTCTGAATCTGGGACAAAGCTCTCATGATCTCCGTGTGCCTTTGTTCTTCGCCAGTACACCGTACTGACAGGCACGTTATCCCGCACAACCCAACCGCTGTGACGTATATAGTTCTTGGCGGCTTCTGCCGGGGCACTAGGTCGTCCATCTTCTTCCACTTCCGTTATGATGTGCCGACCCTCAAGCTTCTTCGCGGCACCTCGTTGCCCGCGTGCCCTCTTCTGTCCAACGGAGGGTTGACTTCCACTAGCCTCCTCCTCCTGGTTCCCCTCCACATCCCTTTCCACGTGCCCCTC